GATTCGAACCCACCACCTTAGGTGTATGTGGCTGGCGCCTTGGCCACTTGCGCCACAGGCGCCGAGCCAGCAGGAGAGAAATTTATTTCTTGTTGTATCCCCTTTCATACAGCTTCAACTAATTTGATCATGTGTGAATAAGACCCTTTTCCATAAAGATAAGGAAAACCAGTTTAAACTCTTTTAAAGGCTACATCCAGGCTGACCCCTTCCCAATGAGGTGCTGGTCACATAGCCTGTCCCTTGCTGCAGGAAACAGGCCACCTGTCCTCCTGTCTGGCGAACTCCATGGGGTGCCGAGGCTCCCTGAGCCCCCATACCCAGGTGCTCCCCTCCCCCAGACACCCACCTTCAGGAAGTCCTCGAAGGTGATGCCCTCGTACACCTGATCTGGCTCCTGTGGACAAGAGCACACACAGCAGAGTGAGCGGCAGGGTCCTCGCCCACCTCCCCCCAACACACACCTAGAACGCAAACGGTTGGGGCTCTTGAGGTAGAGTCACAAAAGGGGAGGTTTGGATAATTCATCTTCAGCACAAGGCCAGTCAGCCCAAACCCTCATTCACTGGCTTGAGGGTAGGAGGGAAGCCAGGTACTAGCTCCCCAGGGCCCCCTTGCCACCCCCAGCCCCCAAGGAGAATGTGAGCTAGGGGCAGAGGCATACGGGTCTCCTGCCCTGAATAGCCCAGCCACCCAAGACACCTTCTGCCACCACTCACCCACCCCACCCAGTTCCGCACTAGTAGGAACTGTTCCAGGCTGAGCCGAGCTCATGGGCCACTGCAGAAGGGGCCAAGCAAGTAAAGGACCCTGCCTGGTCCATCCCTTGGGCCGGTGAGTCACCACGATGGCCTCTGGCCACCATGAGGCCACATCAGTTGTGCCCAGGAGCCACCCTGCTGTGTATACGTGTGTGTGCATCTGTGTCCTTCCTGACCTGGGGACATGGGGGACCATGTAGAGGGCCCTGCCTTTTTCTGACACTCTCAGGATCCTACAAACACCTCACCCTGCAGCACCCTCTGTGACAGAGAAGGCCCAGCTGGCAACCCAGGTGTCCATCCACAAATGCGGCCGTCCACACCACTGACCACCACACAGCCATTAAGAAGGGGTGGATCTATACACACTGATATGGAAAAGGCTTGGAGATGCGTACATAGTGTGAAAGGAAACAAAAAAATATGACAGGGAGCAGAAAGCTGTCTGCTGATCACCGCTGACCAGACCCGGCCATCTTTCTGCCTGTGGCTGCCATGGGGGGTTTACGGTGAAGAGAAAAAACCACATCAGTTCAATTCCATTTTGTGTCAATTAACAATTTAAAAAATGAAAAAAAAAATACCAGGTTCAGCACCTACGTAGCTCAGTGGTTGAGGGTGCTGGCTACGTACACCAAGGCTGGCAGGTTCCAACCCAGCCCAGGCCTGCCAAACAACGATAACTACAAAAAAAAAAATAGCTGGGTGTTGTGGCAGGTACCTGTAGTCCCAGCTACTTGGGAAGCTGAGGCAAGAGAATCACTTAAGCCCAAAAGTTTGAGATTGCCGTGAGCTGTGACGTCAC